TTGATTTCATATGGCATATGAATTAATGTTGGTTGCCGATTCCAGAATTGAGTGTTAATTTTGAAACTCAGTAACTTCATCCTGATAGAGGATAGTTGAGAGTGGTGAGAATATCGAGGGACTTGAGGCAGTGTTATTGGATGTAACTTGGTGAGTATTATCGGTGATATCTTCATAACGAAGGAAACAATCATCGTCATCATTAATTTCATGAGTGTCAGCTTGTTGGTGTCATACAAGGTGCAACTGAGTTTTTATACTCACATTCTCTTATTTTAGATTTTCATTACAACTCACAATTATTTTTAATTTTAGTAATGGATGATTGTTAGGTACTTGGCCACGCTCACGTTTATTTTTAATTTTCAAGCATAATCAAAGTCCTTGGTCAAGAATCGAACACGTGGTTTCTTCCTTGAAAATCTACAGTGATTGACCTTTCGAATAATGGTGTGTACCATTAAAATTGTCTAACATTTTAAAAGTAGGCAAAAAAAAATGCCTCCATTTGCTTCTCACTACAACCTGCTTCATTCAATAAATCATCATTTAAAAAATTATGAGTACATACAATATGAAGTAAATCATCAACTTGTTTAAATATGAAATACATTTTAATTCTTTAATTATTAATACTTCAATGTTCTAAACATTTTCTACATCTTTTCCGATGTTGTTACATCATCAGATTCATACTTTTGTTTCATCAGCATTCCCGTGATGAGAAAGTAAAAAATAAATTTCAGTCCAATAAAAGTTAAAAAAGAAATGTAATTAGCATGTATCTAATTTCTCGCCAATAAAAACATGAGGTGGAATACTATCATCAACTGGGAGATTTAACTTCAACATAACAGTGTTCACAGTTCTACCATTTGACCTTAACAGAGTTTACAATACTAATAATTAAAAATCATTTCTTTCGTTATCTTTCAATCAATTTCAATCCCAATCAAAATCTTGATCAATTTCACAATAGTCAACCACAAAAAAATGCGCAAACTAAACTGTACTTTATCTATTGCTTCCCATCGGGAGATTATTTCACCACTAATGCTCAACAGAAGCATGAGCATGATGAAGAGAGTTAATAATTTTTCCTCCACGATTCATCCAATCCGAAGCTTTTCCTCGAGTGTGAAAAATTTCACAAACACTGCCGGAAGATATTGTAAATTAATTATGGTCTCCTCCAAGAATAATAACAAGTATTATGAAATGACTGAAAAGGATGGTGAAATTCATATTGTCTATGGTCGAGTTGGTGCCACAGGAATTGCAATCAAAGCCAGTTTGAGTGAATGGGATAGTTTAGTTCGATCCAAGATGAAGAAAGGCTATGTAGATATGACAAATTTGGGATCTGATATGACCAATGCAGGGGATGATATTTATTTAGAGAATTCCAGTCCAGATGTGAAGAGTTTAATTTCAGAATTGAATAATTTTTCGAATATTTCCATTGTAAGCAATTACAATGTTGGAGTTGGAAGTGTTACAAAGGAACAATTGGACTCTGCTCAATCTATTTTGGATGAATTGTATAAGGTGAATGAGAATTTCAAGAATGATGAGGATTTTCTGAATTCATTCAATGAAAAATTACTGAAATTGTACGCTGTCATTCCAAGAAAGATGAAGAAAGTTCAGGATTATTTGATTAATGATAAGAGTAATAAGGAAAGTGCTGCTTCACTATTAGATGATCAGCAGGAAATTCTTGATGTCATGGCTACTCAAGTCAAGATTACAAAACATGATCAATCTGATCAACCTGATTTCCTTAAAAAGAATGGACTTGTTGTGGAGGATGCTTCACAAGATGAAATTAAACTCCTCAGAAGATGATGGGCTCAGATAGTCACTTGTTTTACAGAGCTTTCAGAGTTACCAATAATCAAACTCAAACACTATTCGACAATTTTGTCCAAAAGAAACGAAATCAAAAGAGAGAATTGTTCTGGCATGGCTCTAAAAATGCAAACTTTTTGTCCATCATGATTAATGGTCTTCAATTGAGACCTGCTGCTAATGGTAGAATGTTTGGACATGGTAATTATTTCGGTAAGTTTCTATTTTATTACTGACCTGTTTCCATAACCAAAAAAGCTGACAAATTCAAGAAATCTCTCGGATATACCAGTTTCACAGGATCCTATTGGGCAGGAGGTTCTTCAGATAAGGCCTATCTTGCTGTATTTGATGTACATGTTGGCAAACAATTGGAAGTTACTAATTGGGATCATACACTTTCGGATTTCACAGAAGAATCCTTGATAAATTATAATGGACAAGATTATGATTCATTATTTGCAAAAGCAAAGAATGGATTCTTGCTTAATAATGAATTTATAGTATATAACTCAGCTCAATGCACAATCAAGTTTATGGTTGAAATTAAACAATAGTGAAGATTCTAAAAGAGAAACCTCATGGTAGCTGCCAAAATCTTTAAAATCAATAGCTATCAAATCTAATAAACAAACTTGATAATGGCGGCAGTGTTTTTTTAAAAGAGAAACAAGATGGAGTTGAACCACCGACCTTGGGGGTGAGAGCCCCATATTCTCCCCGCTGAACTACTGTTCCTCATGTTAGCTGCCAAAATCTTTAGACACTCAATAAACTGATGATTTTTTCCCTC